AATGCCTTGACCAGCATGAATCATGCAGAAGGTTCATGAGAATAAATTAAAAGATCTTGTGAACCTTTGGATGTGGCACCTTCCGGATAAGTTTAAACATGTTTGCAGTTTTTTGAAGATCGTGTAAGCAAGCTTCCTCTTAAACGCCCCGTGTGAGCAGCTCAATGATCCGTGTCATGATGCCCTTCACACGCCAACAAGGCTTCTGTCAATTTCTCGTGGAGCTCCTGAAGATTGGTCAATCCATGTGGGTAATTAGTGTCTTGCGTGTCTCATGTCCAGACTGACTGACATAGAAAAACAGCATGCATGTCTCATGCCTTTTGCTTCTGAAAGTGTGTGAGTGTGAGCGTGATGGCCGGTGGTCCTCTCGTGTGTCATACTTTGGCAAGTAGAGCTGGTTCGCACAAGCTCGGGATCTGGGAAACCGTCCTAACAGGTTCACGCACAAGCTCGTGTGCATTCAATGAGACGCCCGAGGGTTCTACTAGGAGCAAGAAGCTAGTAGTGACAAGAACGCTACTAGGGGCTCCTGGCATCGCTACTAGGAGCAAGGACGCTCCTAGTAGCCCCCTGGCCTTACTACCAGGAGCAAGAATGCTATTAGGTTGGAGGCGAATCACAAAAGAAACATCACAGTCTCTTGGAGCACTCCCAGTCCTCCTCCAGGAGAGGCCGTCAATTTCAGGCTAGCAAGACCTGGTCATCTCGGGAAAACGCCAAAACCTGTCCACCCACCAAACATCACAAAACACACAGATCCGATCACAAGTCTGGACCCTGGTTGACTATGGTTGACTTGCGTTAACTCCACAAGACTATCAGTCCAGGCGCTAGGCGGCGCTCCCAACGGACAGCGAAACAGAAACCACCAAGCCCACTCACACAGAACGGAGCCAGGGACGTCTACTGAACTAGTTTGGAGCAGTTTGACCTGTGATCCACAACCACCGGAACAGGCCTCCTGGTGGTAGTCTGGGGCATGACGTTGCAAAGTCCAAGAAGCGCGCTCTCAGCCCCTGAGCGAGCTCGCGCTCTTTCAGCACTGTGTCTGTCCAGTTGGAACAAACAGCTGCAATTGACCGAAGAAACCAAAGGACCTCAAAACTTGAAGTGGGGGAAGGATTGATCTGAACTCTTAATTACAACGCACAAAAGGTTTTGTCGGGATGGACGCCAAGTGCATTTGTCTTGGTGGAGAGGCTACAATTGTTGAAACCACATATATACTACAAGCATCTACAAGCTAGGAATATGCGGTGTGACTCATCATGATGAAGATCGGGAAGAAAAACTTGGGAAGCACCTGCATCTGGACAGGCAACACAAAACAAATGACTCTCTGACTCTGACCCCCCATCTGGATAAAATTTAGACTTCTATTATTGGCTGCTTGGATGTGTTCTTTTTTCTGCATGCTTGTTGAAACATGTATAAATAATTGTATATATATATAACTGGTGGAACTGTGGAGTTGCGTCAGGTATAAGACATGATCCCATCATTTGAGAAGAACAGCTGCACACTAACTTAACTACGAAACAAATAAACACAAATAGAGAGAGAGAGAGGGGGAACCACATAAAAACCACACTATCAAACCGTCATGCGATGCGACAGGAAGCAGCTGCTACCTCATCCTTGACTGCGGGCAAAACTGATCTGCCCTCCCAAGCCGCACCCGAAGCTAGATTTTCTGCCTGGGACATCTCAAGGAGCTCATCTCTGAGCCACACCATAACATCATCGTCTCGAGAAAAACCACCGGCAGCATGCAAATGGTCGTACAGGTCCTGTCGGCATTCTGAAAATGACAGCGGCTAACACTTCTCAAATGGTTAGATTGCGCGGACTGAACTTAGACCCGACCTACAAGCCATAGCTGCAGGAGTGTTATGTAAAGCGGGAGCATTTCCATATCAGTTTCAGGAACGGGCAGCGGTTTACAAAAAAACAATGATCCCAACAATTCTTCTGTGCTCTTCTGAGCAACACACGCATATTCATGGAATGTCATTCTTACTCTTACTGCAGAATTCTCACAGTGCATAGGGTATACACATAGATAATACAAATTCAGGTGTACATGTCGGCAGGGAAACGATATCATATACCGGCATTCATGTGTTTGGTCAATGGTCTTGCTGATATTGCATGCTTTCAATGTGTCACCGAAGAAACATTAACGCAGCACCACACACACACACACTCGAGGAGCTAGTACACACGGCTGAATCGGCTGCTCCAGAAGAAATCTAAGTGTTCAGAATGGCTGAAGAAAGACTAGTATCAAATTGCAGTAAGTTCCATCATCCAGCTCGACGCTGGATCGACGCACAAATGCAAGTCCGCAAAATGCACAACAAATGAAACAAATGCAAGGCTAGTGGACTTATTCTAGGAACAAGTGGGACATAGAAGTCAGAACAAAGCAGGTACACAGAGCTGATCTGGCTCTGCTTCGAATGCAAGTGGACAGCTTTGTTCGGTGGTCTCCACTGTACTCTGCACCCCCCTACTTCAACAAAACCCAAGGTCCAATCCAGGTCAACATGTGCATAATGTGGAAACATGCAATCCACACGTCGCAAACGAACATCTATTATGAAAGTCATTGACATTCACTGAAAATCCCCCGGATCATCTACCAACCCTATGACACAGGTATACTGAACAGTTCTTTGCAAACATGGTGACATGGACTCTGTGACCAATTGTTTTGATCCTTATGAATTTATGAGTCATACAATGTCATACGAACATCATCTACAAACCATACAACATCCGCGTTTTGCTGAGGATATCCGGTGCTCTCTTAAGGCTCAGGAAATGGGTCCGACAAGTGGGACAAAGCCAAGCGACCAACTTCTGAGCACTTGTGCAGCCGCGAAGAACATCAAAGAGCAAATCTAGAAACAGATATGAGCTACGGTCAAAATATGTTACATGGCTTCTTCTCCTAGTGATTTAGTCAGTTCCCTATTATGTATTGTTTTACAGTGTTTGCATGTTGTTCCAAGAATGCCACTGCAAGAGAGCTCTTGGACAAGTCGCGCCTATAACTGGGGCAGTGGTATCCCAAGGCAACCCCGTGCACTTCTAGGTTGTTAACGTTCTGTTACTGCTGTCGTTCCAGTGATTGTTCTACACACGCTTGCACAAAGCCACAATTCAAGAAAAAATAAACAATACATATATATATATATATACATATATATATAGAGAGAGTAAGTCACCAGTTATCATTTTTTGCGAGTCCCCTATGGAAAACATTGCAAAACAACAAAATTACACACACACGCAGAGGCACATACGCAAACATTGTATATCATTGTAAGGGTTTCATTGAAGAAACGTTGCTTCAATTCCTCATACATCAAAGCCAAGTTGTGTCTGATTCTACAGTACTGCTACAGGTCCTAGATCCTTCAGTCCTGACTGGTCCATGACACAGACTCTTCACCACAAAAGAGTTCTCTCAGCCTTGATGGATTTGCGGAGCGCGGCACCACGGTCAAACCCCATTTCTGACCCAATTAGAAATCGAATTGAACATGCAAACAGCACCAACTGATTGCCCCAAAAGGTATTTCGAGGAGAATGGATCTGTGCAAATCATGTCACCTGTCACATCTCCAGCGGAAACTTTTGCACAGCTTCTGACACCACATTCCGAAGCCAAGGCCCCAAACTCCAGGGGTGAAAAGAGCCATAAAGCTCCAGCCCGAGAGCCCAAGACATCATGCAAACCACGGCGCAAGGATCGAACCTGTCGTCGTTGTCGCACGTAAGGAACGTTTAAAGCACAAATGAAGAAGGAGAGACCCTTGTTACTAGTAGCGATGCACTTGTTACTAGTAGCGACCCTTGTTACTAACAGTAGTAGAGATACCCTTGTTACTAGTTACTAGTAGTAAGGCCCTTGTTACTTGTGACATGTTGAAATAAGTAAACCACACACATGCTACGCATTTTGTACAAGATACTGTAGGTAAAAACATGCTGATTTATCTCGCAAGATTCTGCAGTCTCCATGCCTGTTCTCGAACACCCGTCTCCAGCCAAAAGGATGCTGCAGCTTCCACAAACTCTTCCAGGCCTTGCAAAAAAAGCACTCTTCCAACTGACACAAACAACCTCTATTTGTGTGGAAACTTTGTCGCGTTCCCACACAAATCCAAGGCATTGACTCTCCAGAGTGACTGAACGGATAGGTTCGGATGACCTTAAGGGCAGTGATTGCACATATGCCGTCCAAACATGCAGTTGGAATCCTTGCAGTTCTCAAGAAATCGAATGATGCATATATATATAATATGACAAACCATATTTGTATAATATTGTATAATATGGTAAATATACAAAATGGATCAAAATGGTACTTGATCGGAACATAGTATTGGAATTCTTGCTTCGTCTTGAGGAAGAAATGCTTTCCCCAGGGCTTCCCCGAGGTTCCCAACGAGGAAGAGGTTCCCAGGGAGGGGCCACTAAAGCCCGTGGCCACGAACTCGGCATTGCAGGTCCAGTCCTTAACAAAAGGCCGAGAAAAAACACATCCTGCCTTTCAGTCTCGCTGGGGACATAGAAACAGACATGTTAATGTGCAAACATCATCATGCTACTAAAGACCCTTGCACGATCTTGCACGTGGCATTGTTCCAAAGGTCAAGAATGCATGGGTGATGTGTTTGTAGTGCCCCCTGAAAATCAAAAAATATTATCAAAGGATATCAAAGGTGTTCTCCTTCCCCAAAAGTACCTCAAACCTCAGTGATTCCGTGTTCCATCATGTTTTCAAGCGACCAAGCCAAGGCCCGGACGTTGAAGCTTCCCATGGTCTCTGAGGCCAAATAACGGCCGCTCCAACCTCCATCTTCTGCAAGTTTTTGCCTCCAAGCGGCGGCCCACCAACTCACATGGCCAACAAACCACGTACAGCACGCTGCTCAAACAGGCTGATGGTATCTAATGGTCGTGAGTGTCCGGACGCTGCTGTTCTAGTGATTCAACCCGAGGTATGTCAAGTGGATCTGAGAAAACATGCCTTCCAAGGATCCCCATCCCACAGGTCCTTCCACTAAACGCTCCTTCATCTCAGCCCCACTTGGCCTCTCTTCTTGGCTCAAACCTTTGAGGTCAGCTGCAAATGCAGCACCTGAGCTGCTGCAGGACATGAAGTGCTACGCTCGAAGAATGAACTCTCTCTCTCTCTATCTCTCTCTTTCTCGCTCTCTCAGGTCTTTTCTCGTAGCGCCTAACGGCACTGCGAAGGCTGCTCCGTCAAGTTTCCTTCTGTTTCTCACAACATTGGTTGTCAGGTCAGATGTAACGATTTATTGAAAAAGTATGCTTAGCTGTAGTCCACAGCATTGTGAAATGATATTGACAATAATTCTTCACTGTGAACCCGTCATCATTGAGCTAGCACTCTCCTTCTCTCCCTCTCCCCCAATTCCTCTCCCTCTTGCTCTCCCCCAATTCCATTGTGTCGTGCTTCTCGCTGGGCAGCCCCGCAAGCGCCCACAAACTCCCCAGCCAATCCATCACCCGGCTGCGGCAGGTGCTCAGAACCTACCTTCCCAGGTAGCACCACTGAAGTGGGAGCCACCAGATCTGAATGGAGATCAAGTGCAGGAACCCAAGGAACACCCAAACTTGCTCGTGGATTGGTGGGAAAGCTCATGACTACCAGTAGCTGAAGTCAGTAACATTTCAATCACCTTTGAGCACAATCTCGTCCCTGCTCACGCGGCCGGTGAACTTGGTGGATCAACGTGCACCGAAGGCTCGGATGGGTGGATCAACGTGCTGCACCGCTCGTGACGTCCGGTCGTTACTCAGCACCTTTTCGCCTCGAAGTTGACGAAGCACTGTTGCCTCACACGAAGCACTGCGTGATCTGTTGTCGAAGCACTGCGTGTTGTTGGGACAATTGAAGCGATTTTTGATATGGCAATTGATATGGCCGAATGAAGGTCCTGGACCGATGGTCCTGGACCGATTGTTCTACATCAAAGGACCGATCTACTTTGGGATATGCGGCCTTTTTCAACATCTACTGTCTACTGATCTCCTTCGCTCCGTCTCGTCAATGAAACATTTCAGTGAACTCAGTGAAATCACCCTGTTGGGACACCGGGCTCCCAAAGGAAGTGGCACTACAAAGGATTCACGTAGCGCCAAGGCTAAAAGCCGACCTGTCTTCAGCAGGACGCTGCTTGGTGAGGGCAGCAAACCAGAAGAGATCTGGAAGTTTACAATGCTGCCGCAAGCTGCTTGCAGCATCAAGGAAATCAAACCGGGGATGGCAATGGCAGGGGGACTTCAGCTAAAGCTGTGTCCAACTTGAGACACAGAATCACAGTTTGACACAAGCTCTCATGAAAGGCTGAACCAGCAACGCCAGCACTAGAACAAAACCTGTCTGATGTGCTTGAAGCTCCAACGATAAATCTTTGATGCTCGAAGCAGCTGTTTGGATGTGTTTACATATAGACCGGCAAGATTGACCATGTTTTTATGTTTTTTCATTCTTGTTCGAACCCAAAACCATCCCAAACCCATCAACATCCCCTGGGCTCTGGACCGAGGGCGCGAAAGCGCGCCAAGACTTCGGGAAGTCTTGGGTCATCTGCGGCCAAGGGCTGCACCTCGGGCCGTCCGATTATCAGGTTCTATTTGGCACGTCCATGATTTTTCTACATCTTTTTCAGAGACTGAAGGGGGAATCATGAGGAATCTATGCCATGGATAAAGACTATCAATATCGAATGAGAATAAAGACATCGCGAATGAGTATTCAAGTGTCAATGTGCTTCTGCCATTGAGGTCTCATGTGCTCTTCTCAAGGTCTTAGACTCTGACGATGAGACCGCGACGACTACGCAAGAACTCGCCCTCTGATTCCAGGCACTGCGCCTGAATTTTGGCTCCAGGTGCTGCATCAACCATAAAAGAAAGCCTGGAAAAACCTGAAACATCTGCTCTCAGCAGCACCTTCCATGGTCCCCTACGCTCTGTAGGTGCCATGAACAAGCTATATAGGCCAAAGCTTGAATTCACCAGTCAAAGTCATTCAAACATCTCTTGGCTGGAAACCAAGACCTGCAATTGTGCCCCCCTGGCGAATCTCTCATATGGATTGCCCAAAGATTTTCTTGTTCGCAAATCCCCGATTCCGAACATTGTTCGTCACAAGCCAGTGGTGCGCAGGCAATGCTCACCGATGTTCAGTCTACTTGATAGTCGTTGTGGTTTCAAGAAGCTGTAAGTGCTGTAAGCGCCGATGTCTTGGATTTCTACTGGTCGGACACCTCTGAGCTTTGGACCCACATCGGCACTTCACTGTTGTTTGAAGATCGCTGTAGCTCTTTGGCAACATCGCTGAAGAAACCTGCAATTCTCGCACATGTCTTATGTATCGTAAGTGTATCGTATTTACCGGAGTCACTTGACCAACGTATCCGTACCACATGAGGTTGCTCGGTGCCTTGTGTGACGCCACGTCCGAATCCGGTCTCATCCTGCGCCAGATTCCAAGGCTCTGAGACAATCAGTTGGTGCTTTTCTGAGATCAAATTGCTCCTTGAACTGGATCTCAACCACGCCGGAAGACGACTCAGTTTTCTCAAATGAGTTAGTGTGTTCCACGCGCCGCCTACCCTCCCGCTCTGCTTCAAGCTTCAAGCTAAAGGCTAAAGCAATACCCTTTGTCCATCGAATTCTCTTTTAATTGAGTGTGTTTTGGAAGAGGAAGCACTTCCAACCAATAACCATCAGTCTGTTCTTGCTTGTCCCAAGGTTCATTTGGGGGTATCCCTATTCCAAGAACACACCTGTTTCGCAAGTCAACGGAACCATTCCGACCACTTGGAACGGAACCACAACAACCGTGTTCCGCATCACTGAGCCGCCCGGCCAGGCAGCATTCCGCTAGTGCTGCAGCTTGGTCCCAAATACGTTCCCTGCCATGGCACAAAGCATGCTTCAAACATCAAGAACCGGTAACTCCAGTGTAACTCCGAATTCTTTATTGCTGGCCGGGACAGCATAGCATGTAGCAAACTTTCCACAGCCTGTCCACTTTCGCCAACTCTGAGGTCAACGAGCCAATCCATACCTGGCTGAAGCAAACTGGGATCAAAATGTGACAGATGGTCAAAGCAACTGCTCCTTATCCTTTGTCGAGCCCCAAGTCATCCACAAAAACGACTCTTTGTGAGATACATCCGGCAAGGTCTCTTTTGGCCTTGTGTGAATACAGGCGTGAAGGCGACCCTACAACCTAACCCACTGACCCACTGACCGTGTGTGGATGAAAAGAACTTATGCCATCCATACATAGAGTATATATATATATATGTATATATGGTACCCCCCCAAAAAAAAGCTACACTTTTTAAAAAGGGGAGGTGGGGGTTACCAACAAATCTGAATCTGCAATGTGCATGTGGCATCTGATCAAAATGCTCAATGAACATCCTCCTACATCTGATCAACTATATATTTAGTATAAAAAGTATAATGTTTTTTTGAGCCTGCCAAGGAATTTGCAATTTTGGTCTACTCGACCTTGCAAATTCACTGGCAAGCTCAAAAAAAGCAAAAAGTTCAAAAGGCCATAGTCACAAAACACTGACAGGCTCAAAAAAAATCAAAAGTTTTCGGATCTATGGGGACTCTGGGGGGGGTGGTATTTTTTGCAAGGTCGGGTAGACCAAAAATTGCAAATTCCTTGACAGGCTCAAACAAATCAAACATTTATACCCCCCAAAAAGCCCCTAAGATGCTAACACTTTTGATTATTTTGAAGTGTTTTGTGACTCCATGTTTTTGCGGGTAAGCCAAACATTGTAAATTCCTTGACAGGCTCAAAACAAATCAACAATTTATTTCCTCCAAAAAAGCCCCTATAGATGCTAACACTATTGATTTTCTGAGCCTGCTAGTGTTTTGTGACTATGGGCTTTTGAAACTTTTGATTTTTTTGAGTCCGCCAAGGAATTTGAGATCTCTGCTCCATCTGGCCTTGCAAATTCTTCGGCATGTTGACAAGATACAAAAATCTACCGTTGCTACGTTCATGGTTTCAGCTCATGCACTGCAGTGTTGTACCATCTGAAATCAAGGACAACTCTCACATACAAGCAATATTGTTTTTCTGAAAACGCTGCGCTGGTTTGGGGGGGGCTAGCATATATATATATATATATAATCATATATATATATGTGGTGCCTTCTATGGTGCGTTTGATATTCTTTGAAGCAGCACATTAACTGAACCATTCCTTCGAACAGTGACAGGCATGTCCGCCTCTGGGTCTTGCGAAATCTGCTTTGTAAGCTCGAACAAATGCTCGTATGCCTGAGACCTGGCAAATAAAGCCGCGTGAGGCCAACTCTAACGATTAGCACCAAAAGCCAGCCAGTTTGTAGTTTTGACCTTCAATTTCGTTGATGTTCTTAATGTTGTTTGCCAATTCCAGGAACTACACGTCGCAAATACACCGGAGGATGGTGCACATACAGGCACTGGGAGCGGAACAGTGCTCTCTGGTCTCCAAGATTCTTTGCTTGAGCCACACGGCCTTCCGCGGCCTTCATGACCTCAAACACCGCACACGTAAAAAGCATGTCTTTGCGAGATGTCACTTTCAACTACAAACAGGCTAAAGAGGTTGATTGATGGTTGATTGATGATGTTTACACATGTTTACACAATCCAACCAACTTTCTGTGGCTTCCCGGATTCGATTGCAGATTTCAACGACTCAGTGACGCCACCTCACTGTAGCGCCGATTCACCTGGACCGACGCGACACGGACACCGAGCGCCGTGACTCAGGCGTCTGAGTGGCGCCTCGCGTATCTGACGGTCATGAACTGCGAAAGGCAATCCAAAGGCCGAAGACCTGAAGGAACACGCTAGTAGTAACAAGTGCCTTACTACTAGTAACAAAAAAGCTATTAGAATTAGAATTAAAAGCTGAAGGAACGAACGATTCCGGCGAAACTGCTCAAGTGAGACGAAGTAAAAACGACATCGAACTGCCTTTGAATTTGGTTTGGTGGATCAACTGATGTGGTTTCGTTTGATTTTGCCTGTCTGCGAGAATCTGGAGAGAGCTGAGATGAGCTGAGGGAGCTTAATGAGAGCAAGGAGACTGTTCCAACAGTAGATCGATCAGTTCTGTTGATTGTTGACTGGTGATCAATGATTGGATCGAGATCAAGTCACTGTTGGCTTGGTTCACGAAAGTAACATAAACGAACCAACCTTGGGACTGCCAGCAAGCTATTTATGACAATCTTTCCAGGTGCAAATGGTACATGTCAGGTGGTGCATGTATGTGTATGTGGTGGCCAGTTGTCGTGCATCTACAGTGTACATGCAGCATTTTTTCAATAGATCTGTTCGCATCTTGGTTGATCCATGTGCCATGTGCGTTTTGATCCCTTGGCTACCAAACCGTAGGAGCACTTCGCGACAGTGTCTATCAAAAAGCTGAGGCCTTGGTGCATCATGGTGCATCTGTATCTGCTCTTGAAAGCTTCCAGACCAAAACGACTGCTCGCGACAGCTTTCCAAAATTATCCCGTGCCGTCTTGCAGAGCCAATCACCTTGTAAATTCCATGACGTGCAGTGCTTCACCCGCCTCCGAAACCAGCTTCGGCCGGAGCATCAAAAATAGCTTCTTAATCGGAATCAGCACTTCTCTCGATACGAAACATGTTTTTGATAGTGGCAAGAAGCTACTAGGAGCAAAGGGCATCGCTGCTAGGAGCGATCGGACGCTACGAATGGGACGCTCCTGGCCCTACTACTAGGAACAAGAAGCTACGAGGAGAGGTGTCCACGCACTCCTGGGTCCCGGATCTCCGAGACTCTGGGTTCACGCACATCATTGTACCCAGCCGTAGCACCCAGGAGGGCATCGAGTCGCTGACCAAAGTGACCTATCAGAGGCGGCTGACGAGTCGCGTGGGGCAAATGAAGTGCTGAGGGTCGTGCAAGAACAAGAAACAACAAGGCAACTGCCCCAGCCTGATGGGAACAAAGGTCCTGGAGCTTTGCTGACAGTCGGGTTGACTGAACATCAGCTTCAGCTTGCCAAAGCCTGGCACTGAAGAGCGCAGCAGCTGTAAAGGAACCAAACCTAGAACCACCACCTTAAAAAATGCCAAGGCATCCAATGGAACTGCACGCTTCCCTCCAATTCCATCATCCATGAGCAACAAACTGCCACAGAATGGTGGTTGAAAATAATTGGTCGGCCGTGCAATCGCAAAGCTGCTCCAGCTGCTGTGCTGACAGTGAGCCCCAGGGTGTCTAGCCTCATTCAATTCGTTAAGAGCCCCAGCCAGCAAAGGCCAGGGAGCTTCGTCTGGGCCACGGACGTCTCCGCCACCCACTCCTCGCTGGCTCGCGGTTGGCCGTCCTCGCAACTCATCATGGTTTGATAGCATGAAAGCCGTGGGTGTCCAAAATGGTGGCCGTGGTCGGTCCGCATCAAGGACAAAGCCGAAGAGCTCATCCGATGCATCCTGGTTCTGTGCTTGGCCAGGCAGGAAACATGCCTTGATAGGCCTTTCCTTGTTGAGGTAGTCAGTCGTTGTTCCATTTCTCTCAACAGAAGGCTATAGAACCACATAGAACCACGCAAGGCGAGAAGACTCCGGGCCAACCAACTTGGTGCCGTACGACCACGACTGTCTTATTGAGCTTCAGGCCTCAGACCCCATCGCGACCACCACGCCAACACCAATGGCGTCAGGTCGCACTAAGAGCTTTGCGGTCGGCCTGCAAATCATCAGCGCTCGGCCTCACTCAGAGATACTCAGAGGCATGGCTTCCTCTCCAAAGTCTTGTTCCAAAAAGTATTCTTCCAAGGTCTTTGGGGCGGAAAAGCATGGTGGCATGCGGCATTCCTTTTTGATTAAAAACCGCAAGGTTGAGGTCACCTCTGGTCACCTCGAAGACGGCGTTGCATGATGGGGATTGTGAGTTCCTTTTAGGCACTTGGGCCCAGTATCATTAAAGATTACATCGAACTGAACTTCCACTATCCTCGCCAAGGGTGGGAGTCGTGTTCGTGCTGAAGCTCAGACAATACAGCGGTGCATTGCAATTGGAGCGTTGTCAGCAGATCGACCTGCCAAAACGCTTGACACCCACCATCTTCATTACAAACGATGATTCTCAATGATTCTCACATGTCCTTTACCACAGCCAGCATCCGTCGTCAATCAGCTGGCAGCTTTCAACTTTCTCATCATGGTCTACAGAAAATGCAAGTTAGATGTGGCATGATGTGACACAGGTATACAAGGAAACAGTAAATAACAAAAACAAGTGTCTTTGGGATGTCATCCAACAGTCGTCACCTTCTGTCGCTCTGCCAAATGCTGCAAACCTTTTGCCAGAACCTCCGCTGCGGTCGGGTTTTGAAACAATCCCTACCTGAACCACCCCCAGTGAATACTGAATTTAAAAACTTCTCAACTCATGAACCCATGCCATGAACATAATAAAGCTGTGACCGTTGAGGGCATGGCCCAGTCATCGGGGAAGCGTATAGGCGATGACAAAGGTTGAGGGCATTGTGCCTGAGCAGGATGTAATGTGCCTGGTTCATGCATGTTCATGCTGCATGCACTGGCCAGTTCTATTAGGTTGGAGGCCATCGCTATTAGGTTGGAGGCCATCGCTAGTAAGCAGGTTCAGATCAGCAAAGGAAGGACTGAGTCAGACTCTGGCTCCGGTCTTGCTTTGGAGACTCTCTGAGCCAACGGCACAAGCTGCAGGCGATTTGTAGGAGCTATCTGGTGGCCCATACTGCCATTCCTGCCATTGAGCAGCTGCAGCTCAGCTGCAACCCTCAGGGTCACTAATATGGAAATGGAATAATATGGTCCCTGGTAAGACTGCTCTCCTTTACCAACAGTTCCATGTTAGTGAGTCGGAGTGTCTGTAAACAATCTGAATCTGGTCCTCTGGCCGGATCTTGAAGGATGCACTCATTTGCCCAGAGACGGCAGGATAGAGAGATGCCTCATGGCAACACTGCGTTGAAATTCTCTGCATCTATGAGAGTTTGAACGAGCCTATGAACGGGCTTAAAAACGAAACTATGAGAAACCTATACCTGGACCATCCGAGGAGTCTGTATTGGACTACCCCGCACTTCTTGTGACAAATTGTGCACTTCCATTGGACAGCCATTGGATGATCCTGGTGTAAGGCTTCTCCTAAGGCCTTCACGCATTGAACTCCGGTGAAGGTTGGAGGAGCCCAAACCCCGTTGGTGCTGAATTGCAGAGTCCCCGAAGGAAGGTCTGCAGCACAACCCACCACGACCTGAGTGGTTGAACGTGGGTGCAACCGCACGTTGACGATCCAGTTTTTCAAGCATGAGGTAATTTTGGAGTGGCAGGATTTTTGTGCACTCAACAAAAAGCAGGCAAAAAACTAGCCAACCAACCTCCTTTGACCAGGACGATGGAAATGTCCCAGCCTGCAGGAATCACACTATGTATGGCTGAAGCAATCACACTTGATCAACCGACAATGTGACAATGTGGTCAACTATTGACCTCGAATCCAAAGGATATCTGAATTCGTGTTGCAATGGCCACACTGCAAACGCGAGCAATAACAACATAGACCTATATAGTTCCACACGACTGAGGGACATTTAAGTCCCATGCTGCCATGTGGTCGAAATTCCACCCCAGCCTCTCCACCATGCCAAATCTTTTGCCTCGCACCTCCATGTTCGGCAGCCGTTCAGCATCGAAAAATAGACTGCTCGACTGCTCGTTGGCACCTTTCCTATCTACTGTAGGCCTTTCGGATCTGATGAACTGAGTTGATCATCCTCAACCCTTGATGAAGGGTTTTTGAAGAGGGACACGTATTTTGGATCTTGTTTTTGAGAGGCCAGTGTCGTGGGTGCTCGAAGCTGCAGGCTGCATTGCCTCTTGGTCCAAACAAGGAGGTGTACACTGAATGTCAGATTGACTTTCTAGTTTAGTTCCGACCGCATCCGGCAGGACCTGCATCAAAAGCTAGCTCATTTCACAAGCATCGAAACCAGAGGAGGGCAGATCTCGGCGCATCTGAGCGCCGCATCTGAGCGCTCGGCCATCCACGCCCCAGCTCTCCAAGTCGTCCCCAACGCCGTAGAGCCAGGTGTCGCCAAAGAAGCGGAACTTCTCTGAAGCCCAGCCTGGCTGTGGCACCGGAACCTCTCGGCACCCGCACGTGGATCGATGGAGAATTCCATGGAAATACGTGCAAGACATGCGTGAACCGTTGTGAAACCAGGTATATAAATAACATCACCAGACATGCTGGAAGCGAGGCATTTCCCAGCCAGCTGGTGCAGACTTTTCCCCAAGAACAGAGGCCACGGTTCACCGTGACCCTCGCCAAGGCCAGGGTCGAGGGACTCGGAGAGGACGGCTGCGCCGTCTACTGGGGAATATCCAAAGCATTTACAAGCTCATTCCTCCAGCAATTTGCTCAAGCAGAGATTGTACAGTGGTTTTCACGGTTTTCACAAGTTGAAGAAAGAATTCCAAGTACATCGTACATCTGACGACAAATCGGTAACCCATTGCTGTAACTAATCACTGTAGTTGTATTGCTGTGTTCGGAATCTCTACGAAACGAAAGTGTCCAACTCGATGGAAACCTGCAACGCACCATGGTCAGTGTGAGGCAATCATCCAACACCGAACATCTCTTGCACGCTTCCAGCCTATTTGCGGTGTGTCATGGGATTGTATATGCAGTTCGTAGTAGACCTTCACAAAACATGTCACTCAGGTTGCAAGTACATGACAAGAAGCAGTGGTCTCTGAACGTCCAAGCCAATATGCCACAGGACCTATATAATCACTGTCGGGTTCCTCTCAATCTCTCAAATTGGGTGATTGAGCCTATTTCAACAAGTATCTAGAGTGCAAGTTCCGCGTGTATCTCCTATCCCAAGCAAAGCAACTCTACCATCTACAAGGCGATCCTAACCTTCAAATTTGGCCAATCGGCAGAATCAGTTCCAGGATGTTCCAGGTTTGCTTGTCTGTCTGTCTGTCTGTCTCTGTCTTTGAAATTCATCTTTATTGGCCTGCCCATCAGGCATGCCTACGGTCCTGTTGTCAGCATGATCATGGAGGAGGGAAATGGCACTCCCTCCCATTTAATGTTCTCTGCTAACCCAGTACATGGAAGTACCATGGAGTACCTCCATGGAGTACCATACTATAGATTCAGAATCTCAAGCTCCTCTCACTCCGCTCCAGTCCCTGCCTTGCTGCTACTGCTAAGCTCTGGAAGTCCCACCGTCGTCCAAGAGCTGGAGACCCAGGAGCACCCATCCACTCGCGCGTCTTTTCCTCGCAAAAGACCTGGCCGCAACTTGGCAGGAAATGGTGTATTTTGCAGTCGCACCCTTGACCTGCCACTGAGCATCTCTTAACTTCCCTGCAATCTTAAATAAAGATCCTGCATCAACAATCATCAACACATAGAACACATGCTTCTTGAAAAGCAGGATAGCACGTACTTGATATCAAAACAAACTTAAGCGCCGACTCCGACGCACTGAAAGCTTTGTTTTATGGGCCGTTCATGGCCCATCATGACATACTATACCTATATACTTATATACGGTATAGTATAAATATGTTCCTCAAGCTTTGGGCATCAAATGACAGCATCCAATTGAAGAAACAAGCCCCAATCAGGACTTCAACCGGCATGACATGGGGCTTGAACCATTCGGGCTCCCTGTACTGTTTGAGAGAATGGTTTCAAACATGCCGACCATGTTCTTTAGACACGCTGCAGCTTCACCTTTGCAAACATGGAAGAGACACTGACTGTTGGTGACGATGTGCTGGAACTGCTGCCACCCAGGCTGTATGCCTGGCAAATCGAAATGCATCATTGACGGGCATACCATGCCAAAAGACCTCAGATGACATTAGGACAAATCAATTTCCAGGTTAGTTGACCCAATGCCTGGCACAAAGCATCCGCTGTTCTCCTTTCCGTTTGGCCGTCATTGTCATTAAATAAGGTGTCTACAACACTTGCATCCGATGCAATCTCACTTTCACAACACACACTATATTGTAGGAAAACACATGTTGGAAATCGTAGCTCAGCCTTTCATTCGCTTTTCCACAGTCGGGCAATACAAAGACTTTCAGCTCTTGAAAAACATAGATGGAAGGATCGTAGAAAGGGTGGACCAAATGCTTGGAACGCCAGGCTGAACACCTACACCAAAAATTGGCCAGGCACACCAGGGTTGGCTTGGGCAGCTCCAACCCCGGGGGGGGTTCCAGCCCACGTGGCACGTTTGGCGGTGAAGGTGAAGCGGCCAGGGTGGGCGAGTCATTTGGACAGTCAACACCTTGGACCAAATCTCAAGCACGTTGCTCGAACGATTGATTTAACACGTGCATTATGGCATAGTGCATTCTAATGATCTCGTCTTCATTTTGCTTTGATCATCTCTCATCTGTGAAGAAGCTTCTGGTCGGAGAACTGCTAAGCCAGCGAATATTTCATGCCCAAGAGTGCCATGCTCAAGTGTTTTCTTGATAATTATTTTGGGAAGGCTTTGAGGCCAATTGTTCACAACTCAACATTCTAAATTATATTAAGCAAGTCAACACAGTTCAAGCGCCATTCGCCAGATGTTAAGACCAGTAAGCACAACGACCTTGTCCATTCCCGCTTGACTTTCACTGGTTTGGGGCCGCCCTTGGGGCCCCCAACTGAATCTCCGAGTAATCCGCGAAGACTCAGCTCCACGCCTGGAGGTCGAACCAACGTGCCAGGCTAACGGTGAGCAGCAAAAAACAGATTCGAAAGAAATTAAACACCAAATGCCACGGCAGTTCCACTTGACACTCAAAGCAGTCTCACATCTTCCGAACCCTGTTCAATGATATCTAGCAGATTCATGCCCTCAAGACATGGAGCTGCATTTTCATCCGACAAAGCTCAACTGTGTGGCTTCAACACATGCCAGCACATAGCTCCAAAGCCAATTCCTTCAGCACTTCACCACACCAAGTGTCCCACTCCAAAGACTGCAAATCCTGAAACAAGAATGGCCATAAGCTGCAGTCTTCTTCATTTGTCCTCCTGCGTAAGGTGGTAATATATCAACGATCTAGGAGTTTGCCATCCTATGCTCTAAACGAATACAGTATCTTCCTCTCTCCCCCTCTCTCTCTCTCTCGCAATGACGTCCGCATGTGTCCAGCAAACATAAGAAGAATAACAGAATTCTCTGCCCTGTTGGATATGGCTAGGCACAGCACGGCACGTGTCTGCACTTGCGCTTCAACTGGCGGGACAGGATACAGCCGTGGCCTTGTGCATCAAAGCACTGTGACAGCGAGACATCCCAAGTCGAGTAGTTTATCGAACTCCATCTTCAGTCATCCCGAAACATTTGCTGCTTCTTGCAACATTCTGAGGAAGCTGGTTTCATCTGGTTTCAACAGTGTACGATCAGCAGCGAGAAAAGTCTTTCAACCACTTGGAATGCAACAAATACTGAAAATTAGAAAAGCGTTGATAGAATATCAAATAGAATGTCACACAACGCACATGACCCTTCACTTCTCAACTGTCAACCTAAGACCCTAATGGCCAACAAATGATATTCTTGAAACTGGGCTGGGCTCCGAACCCTTCGAAACCTGCCATTGTCCTATGCTTCCCAGTGGCCTGGGCATTCAAACTGCAAACTCACTAATCACTACTTTGTTACTAGTAGCTTCTTGCTACTAGTAGCGATGGTCTCCACCTACTAGCTAACCAAACTCATACCTGGTGCCATCTCCAGCCCAGCAGCTGACTGGGCAGCTCTGCGGGTCTTTTCGACTCAGTCCGACTGGCTGAGCAGCCATTCGTTTGAGGCCCAAACCAAGGCTCCGGTGGTCAGCGAGACGTACAGTGGCGGCTCTTCCCGGACCAGCACAGCTGGCATCCAAGCCTTTTCGGGCACCAAAGATTCTGAATGAAGGCACAAGCAAAACATACAAAGGGGAAACAAAGATATTGGATTAGTTCGGAACAAACGGTGCGAAGGAGTCCTCAAACTGCCAGCTTCTATCCATGACTGTACCGGGAAATGTTTCTCTCGCTGCCTTAGGCTGGACATGGCTGGACTCTCTGGCTTATTGGAATGCTATTTTTACGACTGCAGCCTCGTTCATCTTGATCTCAACCAGGTCGCGGATGCCGCTTCCCCCCTGAGATTCGACCAGAATCTGACATTCCTACTTCAGCTGTCAGCTCATGGCCCAAACACAAACAACGCACCTCATTACCCTTTTACATCTGGCAGCAAACGGATACCCTATATACACTATTACACATTTAAGAGACACATTAAAGTGATTTCAGGAGCAACGCATCTGGCAAACTGGCCCGTTCCATCACGTTTCAGGAAACCGAAGGCCACACCTTGCTTCGCTGGGTGGCTCCTCAGCTTTCATCAGGATTTGGCGTATTAGTAGGTTTTTGTTCTTGAGTATACAGCAAATCTGGTGAGCAATGATGACTTTAAAGGTCAAACTTACCAACTTGCCTTGATGATTTCTGTCGGCTGGACTGCAACCTCCTTGGTATGGCACCTTGTGCTTGTGACGCCATCTCTGGCTCTGCAACCACCTGTCGGAGGCTGGTGGAATAGAAAGCGAGAATGTCAATTCAAACATGTGTGATGAGCCCCATCACCTGGATACCACAACGCATGACGATATTTTTGTCCACGGCACTCCTATACCTTTGTATGAACAGCGGCTTCTATTAAAACAAACCAATCGAATCCTCGTAATATCTTGATATATCTATAGCTTCTCTGGATAACGGTTTCCTCACTGCTGGCGGCTTCAAGCCGAGCATCGTCTTATTGGTCTGGACCCTTTGGACCCTGTAAGGCCACCCACTCTGCATTGCACAGCGGACATTAGTCGATCTGCAATCCGCGTGGCTGAACCTCGAGGGGCGAAAAGGATCAGCCCAAAAAAACACCATGGTTTCTCTCGATAGCCCTGCAAGACTAAGTACAAGTCTAAGTGCTGGAAGAACATACACACATAATAAAACATATAAACAGCACTAATCATCCGCGAAACATTGAAACACGCATGGCCGCTATTCTTTCCCGAAAACAATCATTTAATGTTGGTTTGATGTTTGCGCAGCCATTTCATGCCCAACCACAACATGTCACGAAACCGCTCCGGGCCCCTTGCTATGTGCTAGCCCTCTGGCTACAGCAGCTTCTCCGTTGGCTGCAACAGCCTCTCCCAGGTCTGGAAGATGAATGATCTTTGATCATCTCCAGCTTTTGGTAGATCAACACTGATTAATACCTGAAGGTTGTTTCATTTTAGAACATGACGACCCACCAGACCTTGTGGACAGCTTCCAGCATCTCTTGCTCACCGCCAGGCCAACCAATCCTGGCTTCCGACGTAGCTAAACATAGCTAAACATTATCTGCCAGTCCTTGAGTCCTTTTTATTGAGGCCGATCGACAAATGGCTTTGCACAGTTGCTTTAGTAATTAAAAAACTGATTAGATATTATTAGAGTAATAGTAATTGGAGTCATGCTGGCATCAACCACAATCCCAAGCAAACCACTGCAAGCCCTCTCTCTCTCTCTCTACAAACCGGCGGTGCGCGCTCTGACCATTTGTTGGAGACACTTGTGAAGGCGTTCTTCACATCCAACCTTGGAAAACTAACTGAGAAGTTGCACAGTCTTTTTTGAGGACATTGCAGTGACGCTGTTGTATGATTGAGGCATGCAAGAGCTGAAACTTGGGGCCCGACTCTACAGATTGCCACACCTGACCAGGTCTCATCAGTCTCATACTCAAACGTCGGATTCATCTGTGGCTTAGTCCCAGTCGAGCTCAAAGGGCAACTCTGCATCGAAGGAGATGATGACCTCTGCAGTGGAAAGAACACGATCGAAGCGAAGAAGCGTTGCTCTTCAATTTCAGGCCACGGCCGACCAAACAGGATCACCCGGTCCGGGTGGATTTGGCCTGAATTTTCAGCGGCATAGGAAGGAAACTTTTCCTGCGCCTACCATAGTCTACTAGCATCTGGCTTTGGCAAAGAGTCTTAACAAAACAAAAGGGAACCCCCCAAGTCGCCAAGCAAGTCGCTTTAGTGAGATGAGCTACTACCAGCACGGATTTGATAGGTCTAAGGCTTCACAGTGTTCAATTGCACAAGTTGTCGCTTTTGTGTATGCTGCTTATGGCTTATGTAACCCGCATGATCTATATATATATATATGGAACACTTCCCCCCACACTAATAATTCACTAATAATATATATATATATAGTCCCTGCCGGGAATAAGAGGAATATAGTGACTCGAGGTCGAGGTGACAGATTTGTGGCCGTCAGGTCAACCCATAAGCTTGTGAGCCATGCGCTGCTTTGTACCCCTGCTGCCGCAAAAGCGAACGTCCGAGTTGACCGGCAAACAAGTCACTTCAAGCTCCGCGTTCTAGACAATGGATGACATTTGATGCTAGGAGACCGTTTGTACTACACTTATCTCAATTTCAATAGATCCTGAAGTTGTACCATGGGAACTTGCACCATTTTTCTGATTGGCAGGAGGAATCTATGATCGTGGCTCATACCATCAATGAGCTGATGACCCCAGACTAGCTCTTGGTTCAAAATGCCAGCACTAGATGTTTTTGGAGATCTTGCACAGAAGGAGAGCGCAAATTTATAGAGCAGCCTATACGGTGACAAGTCTGCACATCAAAGGAGACAAATATGATTGCAAGACACTCTGGGCTACTTTCTAAGGTTGAACATGATATGGATTCTATCATTGAATCGTTGATATCTTTTTGTGGCTCACCCTTTTGTTCATATTTGTCCATCATCTTTGGTGTTCTTCTGTTGGGGAGCGAGGCTTGGCAAGATTGATGCAAAGAAGACTTGCTTCTCAAACGATCTCTACAGTAGTAACTTAGTATGCAAAGATCGCTTCCCTCGGTCTTGCAACTTCGACTGTTTGTGTATGCACTGTTGGCTTCTGACTGCACTTTCTTCTTGAGCCGTTTTGTAGATTATCTTTCATTTATCCTTGCTTTAAACGTGATTGCAGCTTTCTTTACCGTTTGCCACTGCAGATTTAGATGATAAGGCTTAACCATTTCCCTGCTTTGGCGTTCCAATGTCTCAAGGACTATCTCCCCTCGCTCTTTGGAGGTTCTACCCTGCGCTCATGGAAGTCCGGTGTCACAAGATTTTCCATTAGGCGAAGGACGGTGGCGGCTGAATCGTCAAGTGGAAGAAGCTGTTGAGGACCTTGTGCTCTTTGCAAATGGATTTGCAACAAACATCGTGTATATGAACCAGACTCACCAAGAACAATCTGAAGGACTGCCAACATCACGCGACTCAGCTAAGCCAGTCTGAGATTCTAGCAGGTGCAGTATCTGGTGGGTCCCACCTCATACAAATACACAAATAGGGCCCTAGAAGGTTATTCTTCACACCTAAGATCTGCTTCTACCAAGCGCCAAGCAAAGTGAAGGAGGCATCTTCTTGCTCCTCCATGTCTCTCTGGCTCCATCCGAAATGCTTCAGCCTGATCAAAGTGGGTCAAACACCCTGGAGTCCCTGGAGGCTGCCGTTGACCGTCGAAACAACCCAAAAGGTCCAACAGGTCCAGGTGTTGAAGCACTTTGCTCCGGAACTGGTGGTTCCCAATAATTCCCAGGCTCCCAACAATGGCACAGCAGCATCTTGGATCAGAAGTCCATCTACGGACTGAGCCTCAGAATTTGTGACACGGGGCCCGTAGGATCCGGACACGTTCACAAACAAGAAGCTATTAGAAACAATAAGCTACTAGGAACAAGTGCATCGCTTCTAGTAACAAGTGCCTTACTAGTAGTAACAAAAAGCTATTCGAATTAAGTTAA